GCCGCGCCGTGCCACGGGGTGGTGGACGGTTGCTTGGGGTCATGTGCATAACGTAAGCGTGCGCAGGAGGGCGCGGTTGGCGGTGCTGCAGTCATTGTGCGCAACGCCGTCCTGCGCAAGGTGGGGGCCTGCTGGCGGGGCGGACCGTGCACGGGGTGGCGACGGTGCTTGGGGTCATGTGCCATAACGTAGCCGTGCCCAGGAGGGGCGGTGCTGGAGTCATGTGCGCAAACGCCGTCCTGCGCAAAGTGGGGGCCCAACTGCTGGCGGGAGCGCGCCGTGCACGGGTGGTGACGTGCTTGGGTATGTGCATAACGTAGGCCGTGCGCAGGAGGGGGCGGTGCTGGAGTCATGTGCAGCAACGGCTGTCACTGCGCAGGGTGGGAGGCCCTGCTGGCGGGGCGCGCGTGCACGGGGTGGCGCGGTGCTTGGGGTCATGTGCATTAACGTAGCCCGTGCGCCGGAGGGGCGTGCTGGCGGTGCTGGAGTCATGTGCGCAAACAGCTTGCATGCGCAGGTGGGGCCCTGCTGGCGGGGCGCGCCGTGCACGGTGGTGACGGTGCTTGGGGTCAATTGCATAACGTAGCGCGTGCGCAGGAGGGGCGGTGTGGCGGTGCTGCAGTCATGTGCGCAAACGCCTCCTGCGCAGGTGGGGGCCCCTGCTGGCGGGGCGGACCGTGGCCGGGGTGGTACGGTGCTGTGGGTCATGTGCCATAACGGTAGCCCGTGCGCAGGAGGGGCGGTGCTGGAGTCATGTGCCCAAACCACGTCCTGCGCAGGTGGGGGCCCTGCTGGCGGGGCGCGCCGTGCACGGGGTGGCGACGGGCGCGGCGACGGTGCTGGTGCCGCGCTACTGCGACGAGGTGGCGGAGGTGGCGGTCCGCGGCGCGCTGGGGGCGCTGCTGGACCTGAGCCTGTGCAACGGGGTGCTGCTCGTGTACGCCATGGCGCTGGCGCTGCCGTACGAGCAGCTGACGCTCGTCGCCGCCCTCGTGCCCGTCGTCTTCGCCGCCACCTTCTTCTTCATGCCCGAGTCGCCGGTGAGCACCCGCTGGCCTAACCAGCTCCTCACGGCGTCAACCGATGTCGCTGCACTGCCTCTGCGTGGGACGTCTTACGGTTCCACTCCCGACTGTTGACATTAGCTACACAACTCCTTCGAATTCAACCGCTGTCTGCAGATAAATTGTAACGGCCAACTGCTCTGATCGGAAGTTTACCATCGTTTTCCGATCAACACTAGGCGAATGCTGAAGCAGTACCCTAACAAACGACCCAAGTACCGCGCGTGATCTTTCCATCCTCTTTCTTGCCCCATCCTCATCTCTTACTTTCACGCACTTGCATGCACTACACCACCACACCTGCCGGGAGATTAGTCGGGAGTTCTGAGCTTACCCCGGCTGGAGTGGGGCCTCACCAGTGGGACTTGTCTGGTTGGACAAAATGTCTTCAATCCGAAGTAGGTCAGCGCCGGATCTCACCCTCCAGCGCGGGTAGATTACCGCCATCTCCATTACAAACATGCACTACACTCACGAGACTAATGATCTTACCGTTGCCGAACCTGGAATTGCTAATCATTCATTATTTAAAAAATCTCTATTTTCGACCCCCCTTCTATCTTCTACCTAACTATTCACGTAAATATTTCTAGTGAGTTTATATAATTGTTACCTCATTTCAGCTAATTCAGACATTTTCCCAGATTCTTCAAAAATCGGAAGAAGGGGGCTTTTGTGTAGGGTGAGCTAACGCAGCCGACTCCTGATTTTTAGTACGCCCTTTACGATACCACAGTCATCTGTTATCAAAATCAGAGTTCCAGAAAGGTATGTAATCTCTTTGGACAGTACAAATAATATGACTAAGTTTGCTGACTAAAGCAAACATTGAGATTAATTTAGGTGCTATGTATCTTCTTTCCCACGAGCAAAGTTTACGATCAAACTGTAATAAAGGCACCATCAAGACTTATTCTCAATTTTATCAATGAAAGGATTTGACTGAAATTGATAATAAAGGACTAACCAAAAAGAAAAATTATGACGACATTTTTTTCAGATAAATTGTAAAAAAAAGTCTGCTCTTTTGAAAAAATCTTGTTTGGTTATTTGTTTCGAAAATGGTCCCAATTGATTAAAAATACTCATATTTTAAAAAGAATTGTACATGACATTATTTAATTTTATATAATAATATTTCATGACATTTGTTTAAGACACAAGCAAAGATTTCACTTTTAAAAAGTCACTATTTTAATGATGTGGTTGTAGGAAAGCGTCGAAAAAAACGTTTTCCTATTTTTGATAATTGAAGAGTTTCACTGAAAATCAGACACGTGGCAATTTTATAATCTTTCTCTGTTCGAGATACTAGTGATGCCACAGCTCGTAATTCTCGCTTCAGTAACGGTTACGTGAAATTATAATACTACAATTTCTGTCCGTTTTAACACAACTCAGTCACCACGTGTATTCCTAAGGTATTTGCGTGGTACTGGAGAGATAAATAATGAAAAGCACCGATTAAAGCAGTCGTCCGGTATATTTCTCCTCGAGAGCGACTGAATTAGCTACGTAGCTAGTGACGAAAACTGTACGTCATCATCGTCAAAATCCGTACACGCCATCGCAGCCGGCAGACTACGAGAATGAGACGGGGCATAAATAGTAATCTGGACACGCTGCTCCGAAGCTGCTGCAACTTGATATTCCACCTCATTGATTGATTGATTAGTCATTCCTGGCACGTCAACTGCTAAGGTCATCGGTCACGTAAGTGTAGTGCATGTTTTATCGCGGAAGATAGCCGCGAGCTTTCCCCGCCGGCTGGCGGAACCTGGCGGCGACCTACGTCGTCATGTGGGGATTTTCCCGAACAGGTATCTTCCACCCACAGGCCCCATGCGGAACAAGTTCTACTCACATCTCTCCACAAGTGACAATGAATATCCGATAAGGAAGAGCAAGAGATCGCGATAAAAGACCGCGAATGGTCCGTGGCCTGTTTTTAACGGTACTGCTCCGGCATTCACTTGGTGTTGATCGGAGAAACCACGGAAAACTACCGATCCGAGCAGCCGTCCGAGAGAGTATTCCTCCAGACAGCGGTTGAATTAGTTTCAGCTATGTAGCTAGCGTCGAAAATCCTGCCGCCGTCGGGTCTCGAACCGTAGGAGGCGCTGCAGAGTCATCAGTTGATGATATCTCATTTATTGAAATGCCGTTTATCCATGGGTTGCTCGGCGCAGGTGCACCTGGCGCGGCGCGGGCAGCACAAGGAGGCGCTGGAGGCGCTGGCGTGGCTGCGCCGCGGGTGCGGGCACCGCCCCCGCTGCGCGAGGAGCTGGCCTACGCTCACGGCGGACGACGCCCTCGAGCTTCACGCCGCCCCGCCGCCCGCGCCACCTCGCCCACGCCCCATCCCGCCGCGCCCACGGCCGCCCCCGCCGCTCTAACGAGGACGTCGTGGCGCGCTCCCCCGCCGCCCTTCCGTTCGCTTGCGGACCGACACGGTGCCCCCACGCGCCCGGCGCTCGCCTCGGGCCCCCGCCCTCGCCCCCTCGCCCTCGCCCTCAGCCCCCGCCCTCGCCCCCGCCCTCGCCCTCGCCCTCGCCGACCAAGGACGTCGCCCAGCCCGCCCCCAAGCGCTCCGCCGCCCCCTACGTGGCGGCCAAGGGCATCTTCATCGCCTACACCCTCATGTTCCTCCAGCAAGTAAGAGAACACGGGCGGATACACGCTTCATTTGGCCTACACAGGTTTCTGTACGAGTAATCAAATAAAATTATGAACTTGTTAGCCATTTAACATGTTTCTTACAGATGTTATTTATAATATTTGCGTTTGAAGATTTTCCCAAAAATAGAACTTTTCCTTACCTGATCTCCGGACCTAGGGCAGTTTCAGGTTTTAATCCACATAACGTACGTGTATTTTAACATCTATTCTTGCACGTTCCAGTCATTTATTTTATTCCGTCCGTTACACTGTCTATCCGCCTGTCTCTCCGTCAGTCTGCCCATCAGCCTCTGACTGCCTGTCCGTCAATCTCTCTGTCCGTCAGGTTGTCTGCCGCTCCTTCACTGGGCCAAATGTCAGCATGTCTACCTTTCCGGCAGTATGTTCAGCGGTCTCTGTCTGTCTGTCTGTTTGCCTGTCTGTCTCTCTATCTCTGTCTCTCTGTCCATCAGCCTGTTTGCCTGTCCGTCAGTGTGTCTGTTGGCTGTGTGTCAGTGTGTCTGCCCATCAACTTGTTTGCCTCTCCGTCAGCCTGCCTGTGTCTCTGCCAGTCTGTCCCTCCCTCAGTTAGACCGTCCGTCGGCCCGTGTCTGTCCATACTTTTGATTGCCTATTGTCTTTTCATGTGTTTGTCTGTCCGTCACCCTGTCTGTCCGTCAGTCTGTGTGTCCGTCTGTCTGTCCACCAGTTTTCTGACAGTTCGTCGGTCATTCTGACAGTCCGTCAGTCTTCCTGATCTCTGTCAGTCAGTCTCTCTCTCTGTCCGACAACCTGACTGTTCGTCAGTCTGTCTGATTGTCCGTCAGTTAGTTTGTCTGTCCGTCATTCTGTCTGTTCATCAGACTGTCCATCCGCCTGCCCGTCCATCAGTCTGTCTGACCGCCATTCTATCTGTCCCTCACTCTGTCATTCCGGCTGTCCGTCCGTGAGTTCGTCTATCCCTCCAACTGTCTGTACGTCATGCTACGACATGGATTTTTGGAGGATTTAATTTGAAATGGAATCTAGAGTCTCCTCTTTCAACTAGATGAACGTTTTTTGTGTGATGAGTCTTGTCACACTCTGAGGCTGCTGTAAAGGCGGTCCATGACCAGAGCCGCTGGCTCAAGTGGTACTCTTAAAATGTAGTCTGGTGAAAGACAGTGCAAACACAACCGACAGTTCTCTTAACCCATCGTAAATCGACGCACGAATTGCAATTTGTTGTATGTTTAATTTGAACTAGTTTTGCAATTGAATAATTTCCTCTTAAGAAACATGCTCGATCCACTACCGGTCTGTCAGTAGCCCTTTGCTTAGGTTCAATTAATTACAACACTATCTTGAATAATGAGGTTTTGGTGTGCCGGCTCATAGCAATTCATGGCTTCTTTTATTGGTCTCGGCACTATTTGGAAACACGTAAACATTATCTTTGAAGACACTTTTACGTGCACATTGTTCGCAGGCTGCCGCCATCAGCGCAGTGATAGCATACGCCACGCCAATCTTCGAGGATGCGGGTGGCTCGCTGTCTCCGCCCGTGGCCACAGTGGTGCTGGGGGCGCTGCAGTCGGCGGCGGGGGTGGTGGCGGCGCTGACTGTGGAGCGTGCGGGCCGGCGCCCTCTGCTGGTGGGATCGGCGCTGGTTGTGGGCGCGTCACTAGGGGCGCTGGCGGCCGCGAGCTCCGACAGCGCGCCCTGGCTGCCGCCCGTTGCACTGGGCGTCTACATCACCGCCTTCGAGCTGGGCATCGGCCCGCTGCCTTGGTTCATCACCGCAGAGCTGGTGCGCACGCAACAAATACCACCTGTAGGCGGTATTATATCCGCACGTTTTCTTGAGCCCCGGAATACCTGCCCCCACTTCTTTCCCAACGTTAGTTGTATTAAGAATAAATGATAGCAATGAGAGTTGCAGACAAAATCTGGTGACGGGGAATGTTCGCTCCCGTGTATTAAAAACTATTTTGCATGGAAAAATGAACTTCAAATTCGACGTAAAATTTCTTTTGTCAAAATAACCAAACTCTTCACTCCTCTCGCATCAAGCGAAGCGAGGGGTCAAGAAAACGTGCGCGGATAATATTAAAGCTACCTGTTGTAGGAATAACATTTCTGTCTACTTGACAACCTAGCGGCTGACCGTGGAGAGGGGGTTCCGTTATCCAATCAGAGGCTTCAAATTCACTGTCACTGCACGGTTGCCAAAACTTATTAAGAAAATATGAAATATAATGGCGCGAAGCAACCTAAAATTAAAGAGCGCCATTTCTTCTTTTGTTATGCATCGTGTGTGCGGTTCTGTGTCATTCAATGATGTGTGCTCACATTGCGATTTGTTTCTTGCTACTGCTGCTATTGTGTACTGATCTGATATGAGAACGTTCTCACGACCACGTGGCTGCCGCCCGAGTACGTGACAACATCGCTCCACCCACGCCCAGCTGACAAGTAGACAGAAATATGATTCGGACAATACTTAGAGTTGATGTTCCTAAACCACCAACCAATTAAAATTGTTTTGTTGATCAAAAATAACTCCACATAATTTCCTGAATGTGGCCAATGTGTCAAATTCTGTGTTTGTTGGATTAGGATACTGGCAGCCTAGCCATAAACGTTTGAAAGAAAATTTGACTTCAGTCGACATTCGGCAAAAACCGAGGGTAAAGGCAGGTCCATACATTTCGTATTCCGCAAGGAGCTCACTTCATCGATGACAGCAACAGGGATACACATAATAACTCTTAAAGGAAGACAAACGGACGTAAAAAAACACTTTTTCGCTATCACGCAGCCTGTTAAACGCGTATTTCTATCAAAATATTGTCATCAATATTTTGCAGCATTACCACGTATATGGGAATGAAAAAAAAGTCAGTTCCTTTTGATCTCCTTCCTACATTTTTCTAAATTCTACTAATACCAGTCACGCCTGGTATTAGTTTCTCCCTATTTATTTTGAAATTGTCATTATCCGCCTAAGCTTTTCATAACTACAAATTCGTACTCGGAATTCAATATTGTGTTTTCGTCATAGTTAATAAGTGCCGATTGTTATTGTTAAAAGCTACTCTAAGGTATACAATAAATTTATTAAATTTTGTATTTGCACAAACACATGCAAACTTTATTCCTTTAAACTCGCAGTCTTTTCATTTCTAACACGGATTGTCAAGTCTTCCCTTTATATTATTGGCTTCGATATTGACAGAAATTGCCGTTTTTGTACTGCGACCTTCCCCCTTGCTCTATTCATTCCACTATCAAATTGATGATATGTCCCGCTTCGAAAGAGAGAGACGCATTACGTGGGCTGTGGTCAATATTTATTTCTGCCTAGATGTTTACTGCATTTAAGGAGTACTGCTTATTCTTTGTTGGAAGACCTCAGCCAGCATAAAATTTTAGAAAAACTATAGAATTTCAGGGTTTGGGCTTGAGGATTAATGAATACTGAACTCTTTAAATAATAACACTGAGCCAAATTATAGGGCAGCCATCACTTATAATACATAAAACCGTTATGAATTGTAGACAAAGCACACTCAAGAAACACTTTATAAAACGAACTTGTATATAATTCGAACTTGCCTCTGTAAAAGAAAAATACGTGTGCAAATATTGTACAACTTCACTCATTAAAACAAAAAAATTACCTTCTTTACAGTTATCTAGCTTAATTATTGAATTTGGAATTCAACCACACTATCACTATTTTGGTTGAATATAATTTTTCAAAATGTTTTATTACTGCGTAAACAGTAGCGAGAGAGTAAAAATTAAACAAACTAACCGTACTTAAAATGATGATGTTCACAATTCACTGATATTATTTAAATATTGAGGTCTCATTTTACTCAGATTACTAATCTCACGTTCATAATAAGTTAAAATCCTTCCCTTTATATTCCTTGATTTTAATGGTTTTCTAACTTTCCCCCTCGTAAATGCGACGCTATCGTCAGACGGTTGAAATGTAGTTATATTCTGAAGATGCCCCAGCAACCAATGGCTTTTAACTCTTCTCGACGCAGCTGCCCACGCCAACACAACACTTTTAGGCTAACATTAAATTCTAGTACTGGAATTAAGGACTACAATATTAAAGATGGTTATTTGCTTTCTTAATCAGGAGTTATGAAGTTCCAATACAGCAACAGAAACGCCGCGACATAGCAGTATGAAATTTTCAGAAAAACTTCGCAGCGCAGTGTTTCTGGGTGCATGGGAGGGAATTTTGGATTGTCGAATGAGGGTTGGTGTGAACGGGTGTATTTTTCCGCGTGCAGGTGGGGCCGACCGCCGGGGGCGGGGCCGTGGCCATCAACTGGGCGACGGCCGCCGTCGTCACCGAGACCTTCCCCATGCTGAAGGAGCGCTTCGGCCAGCGGCCCGTGTTCGCGGCGTTCGGCGTGATGGCCGGCGTGGCGGCCGCGTTCGCGCTGCTGCTGGTGCCCGAGACGCGCGGCAAGACGCGCGCGGAGCTGCGCGAGGAGTTGGCGCGCTGGCCGCGCCGCGGCGCCGCGGAGGCGCGACGCGAGGGCGCGTGAACGCCCGGAAGGCGGACACACAAATGCAGTTGGGGATGCGATTCGTTCACGCGCGCGCTGTCGATTCCCAGAACGAGTCACACGTAATAGTGCGCGCGGCCTTTCTCGCGAAAAGTGACGCTTCGTTTCGCTGTTCCAAGTTGAGGACAAGACTCGAGACTTCGGAGTTTACACGAAACATCCTTGAGTTTGTCCAAAGTAGATTTGGCCACGAAGTGCGCGGCTGACGCACTTTCCTTCGGAAAGTAACGGTTTGCTACGCAGTTCCAAGTTGAGGACGAGTCTCGGGACTTCGACCCCCGCGGTAACATAAAACACCCTTAAGTCTATCCAACGCATTTTATGCGAGTATGCCTTAAAAATAATTTAGCGTGTATATTTTTTTAATGTATTCCAGGAAAGCTTCCATTTTCTTGCCTCATAATTGTTTTCCTCCATGTACATTCGCGACAAATATTACGCGTCCGCGCGAGTGAACGAATCGTATCACGAACCATTTCAGCCAAAATTTGTTTTTTTAACCATTTGTGTATTTATTTTTTTGTTCCATCGTCATTCCCATAGCACGCCTACATATCAAATGTTGAAAAATTTCTGTGATGTTGTTGAAATATACGCTAAGCACAATAAATATATCTCAGCATTCTCATATGTGCTGGTATGTGAATAATTCTGCAAAAATTAACTGAGAAAAATGTTTTTATTTTGATTCCAACATTGTTTTAGAGTGAACCAATAAATGAATGTTATGGAGATATATCAGTGGCCACTGGTGCTTCAACGAACTGGGGTTGCAGCTCCATCGAATGCCGGAAATGTATTTTCCAAAATTTAGATCACTGTATGTAATAAAACTTAAACAATTCATGTAAGTTAATTAAGACTTTTATTATTAAAAGTCTATATTAGTCCGGGAGACCTGGCTCGGCATAAATTATGTATCTGTAATGTCTCTGATCGAGATTCCTCTAGATTCGAGTTCTGACGGTGTCATGATGTTTGACACTACCTAGAGAGTTCAGAATTGCTGAATTGCCCTCAATTACTGTCTGGAGGAGAATTCTAGCGGTAGTGTTCGATGGTTTCTCTGGTCAATACCACGCGAATGCCGGAGCAGTACATAATAAATGGGCTTCGGACCGCGAGCGTTCTTTTCTTCCTCTTCTTTGCGCTATCCTCTCCTCTTACTCACACACACTTGCACTTACACTTATAAGCACTACACTCTCATACATGTCGGGAGACAGGTCGAAAGCTTAGAGCTTGGGACGGTGACCACTGGTGGAATCTAAAAGATAAAGATGCCGGTGTGCAATTGCCCAAGGGCGATGCTGCCCAAGGGGGAGGTGAAGGTAGGGCTTCACCTATTGGTCGCCGTCGGCCCAAGGAGGAGGTTGCCTGGCGAGCACAACGCTCCGGCCGCCTTTACCTCCTGTAAAGATCCTGGTACTCACTTGGAAAGGAAGCTGAGTCGACCCCAGACCCCCTGAATGTAAATCGCCAGATAAATACCCTTACAACCGCAGGGATCCTAAGCTGGGTCCAGGTCAGGAAACCAGAGCCCTATCACTGAGCCACCGCACCTCCGCTAGAAGATACCTGGCTGGGGAAACCGTGAGAAAACTAGTAGATCGGCGTTGGATCCAGCGGAGGAAGATCATCGCCACAGCTCAAGGAAAACACGCACTACACTTACGGGACGAATGTCCTCCCGGAATCATCAATAAATCATAAAAAGTGTATATTGCAACATTACTTACAACCTGTTATGGGTAGTGTCCTTGACAGGCATGTTTTCCCGCGCACATGGCTCTGGCATTGATTTCCAATAGGCACTCGAGTTATTGTATTAGTTCTGCATTGATGTAATTGACAATTGAGTAATAGAATTCACACAAAACAAAAATAACGTGGTTTCAAAAATACTGTAATTACAGTCCAAAACTTTGCAACAAGCAAAGTGTCGGAGTTTGTGAGTGGGTTGGGACGAGGCCTATACGTACACAATTGCAAAGGCAGGGTCTGAAAGGGATGTTTGTACTCGTTTTAAGCAAGACCATTTCATGATCTTGGCTGTTATTGTTGCTACTAGTGGTGATGAAATTGAGTTAGTTGAATGGGGAAATTGAAATTCATTAGTTGTGTAGTCTACTTCAAAAAGACTAAATACTCCGCTAACAAGTAATGTACTTTAGTTTCTGAGTCAATGATCCTCAGCTCAATCAGCTTTTTCCTTCAGTTTCTTTTGATTCATTGAGCAAATGCTCAGATACTTTACCTGACAGCTAAGCCGCCTACAGCACATTTTCCCAGTCGGTACTGTTCATAGATTTCGTCACTTGCTTGCACTTCACTCTGTGGTACCTGGAACAGCGCATGTGTCGCACAGTTTCATCTACAGTTGGGTTCTGGTCCGTGAATTTTAGTTGTTTTGCATAATCAGTGACGGTCTGTTGTTCTTGTGGTGATATATCTGAGTTCGTAGTCAGTCTCTGTTTATTGTCGTTTTACCGTTGCTTCAGTCGTGTACAAGTCTTCCCAGACGTCTTTTTCATGTAGCTTTTTTACTGCTGCCTCACAGCTGGACGTTGACGATAGTACAGCATATGTTCTGCCTTCTAAAAGATAGGTTTCTTGTGCCAGCTCGTAGGCTCATCTGGATCTGGTGTAGTTTGAAACTCCTAGCGTTCTTTTCAGAAACGAAGATTTGAATTTTTCAAGCTCACCTAGTTGCCGTGTCAGGAATTCCCATACTAGCTCTATCGTTTGTGAGTGTCGGCATTACTGTATATATGAACAGAAACATAGCTTATTCTAGAACATTAGCGTTAGATATCTTATTTTATTGCTACTTTTTGTTACATCAATCATTCTTGCAGGTTAGTTTCCTAGACTGAAATACTTATGGTTTCAGGAATATGGAACAGGATTTACTCTTATATACAGTCGGTTTGTATTTTCACATATATTAAGTTGATTAAAGTTCACATATATACTTAATTTTTATCAATAAATATAAAAAGAAAAAAATTCTGTCTATAAATAAATCCTGGACCATACTCCTGAAACTATCAATTAATCTTTCTATCAAATATATTTGAAAGCTCGATCCTGTCTTGACGGTTCTACCAAGGAAACTTTTCTCTATTGAGATCTGCCACTATACACTTTATTCCTTCATTATGCGATAGTCTTCCACCTTTCTTAATACCATTCGATCTGTTTATTCCTGGTTGATTTTAATTTCATTGATAGCCCATTCTATAAGTCTCTTGTAGATTTATGACATCTGTTGCTGCCATAACCATATCATGTACGTATACGTAGATATTTACATTTTGGTCTTTCTTCATTGTCCTTACAATGTCCTGTGTATTACATTGAATTAACGTGGAGGAGGTCAGAGGATCTTGCAAGGCCTCATTCTTTTGGCTTATTTACGTTGATTCAGCCACCGCATCATCCACATGCGCGTCGAAAAGATTGAATACAAGTGCTGTTATTGTAGACTGGCCCATTCATTTATCTAATTTATCTCTTACTATCTGTCTGTTCACTAAATCGAACGCTTTTCAGTAATCTTCAAACACGCCGTATGAGTTCCCCCTTCAGTTTCTCCAGTGCTGTCTTTTGTATGTCTCTCCGTCGGTTTCCTGCAACCAGGCCCGTGATAACGCACTGGTCCCAAGGTTTCCCATGTCCAAAGGCCCCCGATAGTTCGCAAAAAATATTTATATTTTATTTTTTTCAAAAACTAAAAACCCGTATAAAACGTGATGTATGATTCAACTATAAGCAAAAAAATGTCACAACGGGTGACGTGTGGCGCATCATTAGATAATATTTATAATATGGAATGTTTCTGGTTGATGCGGGAGTGTCTCTTAGTGATGAGAACAAAACTTCCCTTTAAATTGAAGGGTGGATGAGACTTGTTAAAGTAAGAACAGGAGATCTCGAAATTAACATAGGTCCAAGGGTCCTCAAAGCTGTTAAAACGGCCCTGCCTGCGGCTACTATGCAGATCACAGTACTTGCTTAGCAGTAGTTGTAAACAGATACCCTTAAAGATGACACTTTACCAGAACACAAAGAAAACTAGCTCATAATTGTAGGCTAAATACTTTCTCTATACTTAACTTAAGACTCTAGTAGTTTTCTCAAATAGCAGCATTCACCCAGCTTTAGAATAAACAAAAAATCAAAAATGAAAGCTACTGCAAAACTACTTATACATTGATTATACTCACAAAAATTATTGTTATTATTATTATTATTATTATTATTATTATTATTATTATTATTATTATTATTTACCGACGTGGATGACCGAGGTGTCTAAGATCATGTACCGACTAAGCTGTTCGGTCGGACGAATCGCGGGTTCGAATCCCACCTTGGGCATGGTTGTTTGTCCCTTGTCTCTCATGTCGCGGAGGGCTTCGCTGACCCCAGTTCAAAGGATCCCCAAAGTGTGTTGGTGTCTAGTGTATGGTCGAATATGTGTCTCATGAGGATGTAAAGGAGTAACCGGCTGTTGGGTGGATGAGAGCCATAGAAGAAAAATGTAAAAAATAAATACGAAATTACAACTCTCAGATCGCAGAGTAAATAAAGCTAACTGATTAATTACGAACCAGAGAGCAGATCGAAAAATATATCTAACGATATGTACATATAATAATGTAGCATTTGTTGATTTAGGCCTTAAATTAAATGCTCGTCAACTTTAGCTAAAAACACTACAGACCCAACCGTTCGACCCGGCAGTCCTCGCCCAATATTTTTTTAAACTAGCCAGCAGAACACAGTTTATTTCTAACATATTATGCATATGATCGCGTACTATTTGATGAAGAGTCATCTTTTTCAACTTAGGTGTATTAAGCCAATATTCGACCTGTTTGACATCATCAGTCCACAAATGTACAAAATATATATACAAACCTTAAAAATTAATAAACAAGAAGATAATACAAATAATGCGTTATTAATACAAATAATGAAATAAACGTAAGTACATTTAAAAATTGTTTTCCAATACAAAAGGAAGAAAAAAGGCTGAAATACAAATAACGAAATTAAAATAGATACTTTTTTTAGAAACTATATCAAGTGAAGTTTCAAAAAGTAACAGAGTAAGTTGAGTTATCCAATACACCTCTAAAGTATTTAATATTAATAAAATCAACTATTTTGTATTATTTTGTTTGATCATTGGTGAATCTATCGACGACCGGCCGCCAATTCAATGAGATTTTTGATAAGCCAGGTGGCTGAAGCAAACCGTTTATTTCATTGGGTAATATTCGGTGTCCGCTTACTTAGCTTTTACACAATAAGGCTAAATATACCGAAAAATACATGCAGGAAAATTCAATAGACGCTGCACTATCAGGGAATTTACTTTACTGATAACGTCTGAACCAATTGTCCGATTTTTTATCTGTAAACGGCATTTGGCTCCTTTTAAAAACTGAATTTACGCTAGGAAGTATATTTACCAAAAAATATTTCCAAAAAAATTTTAAGTTGCTTTCGTAGTTGCGCGATGAAATTAAAAGATGTGCGCCTACAGCGCGATGACGATTGCTCCCTGAATCCAACGCCGTGCCAATCGTGCAAATCGAATGAATACGAGCGTCGTAAAGTGACATTTGGAAAAACACCTCACCCCACTCCCCCTTCCACTCCGGTGCGTCTCCCGCCCGTTGCGAGTCCTCAACTCAGCCCGAAGTTTAAATACATTTATCTATTTATAATAATAATCATTAATATTTTTTTCTACAACTGTATAAAAATCGCTGATTCTGCGCATTGCTATCCGCGTGTGTAGTAGGTCATTTTTTCATATTCAGTAAAAAAAATTAAAAAAACGGCTGGGTTATGCCGCCTGCCTGGCTTGCCTACCCGAAAGTTCGACCTCCTCCCGTGCTGCAGGCCGTGGGCCACAACGGGCGGGAGACGCAAGGGGAGAGGGGTGAGGTGTTTTTCCAAATGTCACTTTACGACGCTCGTATTCATTCGATTTGCATGATTGGCACGGTGTTGGATTCAGTGAGCCCGTCGTTATGTTATAAGCGCAGATTGTTAAATTTCATCCCGGAACTACGAAAGCAATTTGAAAACATTTTTGGAAATATTTTTTGGTAAAGGGCTTATTAGCGTAAATTCAATTTTGAAAAGGAGTCGAATGCCGTATAGAGTTCGAAAATCGGACCATTGGTTCAGACGTTATTGGTAAAGTAAATTTTGCTTATTTTGATACTGCCACATGGTGGCCACAAATTAAACTAGTAGCGGTACATTTAGCCATAAGGTCTTGAATGTCCACAAAATATTAGTGACTCACACACACCCACCTGTATTTGTTTGTTCAACATGTTTAGGCAAATATATTTCCTCGACCACTTTTTTATTGTGAGAGCTACCTCCTTTTTAATGCGTTGTTTATATTATTGAAAACAAAAAAGAAAAATCAGCTTGCGCTTGCAGATGAAACTTCCGAGAATTTCAGAAAAAGGTTTAAACCTATGAACTCTGATTTACGAAGACGGCGGTACCTGTAAGAGGCCACTATTGACTTTAACCGTCCAACTTTCCTCGTTTCAAAGCAGAAATCCATTTTAGCCTTTCTTTTTAAATTTGTTGTTTCTGAATGGACGCAACGCGTCTCCAAGCCTCGGAGGCGTTGAGCGCTTTGAGATTGGAAGTAATCCTCCATTAATAATCGCGCTATTTATAGGAGTAATCCTCCATTGACCTTATTGTCTATTTTTAATGTAACGTCTCGTTGCAGTCAATTGTCATGAGGACCGCCAGGTAGCATCTCCGCGTGAGCGCCTCCTACTACGCGCGCCTGCGTCACCACTCAACGGCCAGTATTGGCAAGGGATTAGGATAGGGGTAGGGGTGTACGAAACTTCACAGGGGTTGGACTAGCCCTTATGAAGCAGCTAAATTCGTTTTGTCGGAACAAATTTTTCATGAGATTGTCCGGGAATCGAACCCTGATTTGTTCCGAGTGCTATAATTTTACATTCCCCAATTCTTGGAACAGTAAGGAATCTAAAAAAAGTAATCTGTTACTCCCAACCCCTTTTGCCTCAGTCCATTACCACACACAAGTTGGTTACCGCGAAACTACAACGAAGAATGATATCGACATACTACAAATAATAGACACGTATCGTATTTTAACCATTAGCTTATCTCGCAGCATTGTGACAGCTGCCCACCTTATAATGACAACAGAATGTTACATTGCATAAAACCTTGTATAGCACTCTCTACATCTGCCATCCAGAGTAGTGCTGCCACGAAGAGGTTATAACCTTCTTATGCTGCCCTCACCAGCTCTCAAGTCACTAGTTCTGGTTATCTCCATTGAATTCAGGCGATTTTATTATCTTAAAGTTGGCAAGAGCGAAGAACGCACCATCTTTCGGGTGCCGCCAGTACTTCTTCAGCGGCGACTGTGGACGGGCAGCGAGGTGATCCGTCACTTGCGGGTCACTCACCTGCAATAACTTGAATTACTTGTTATACTGTTTATAATGGAGAAGAGGAAACTAATTTACTTTTAAAGTTTTCGATACATATTTACAAAAATGTAATTTTTTTTACTTTTACTATGTATGAATTATTCGACGAGAATTCGGCAGGTTCATGAATCTGACAGTAGTGTTCGTGTGTGTGTGTTTGTGTGAAGTGTTTTGTAAACCGTCCGGAAAGCAGAAAATGATTACAAGACTGATGAATTGATCATTATAATCGTGAACCAGTATTTTTAGATACATGTTTATCTAACTTGTGTCAATTTTGTGAATTCCGTGATAAGTATGCAGCTATACAAGATATGAAGCAGATTCAAGAGACCAGGTGACACCATTTTATTGTTTTTCATTATTTTTGCATCGGAAAACGTGTGCTCTTAAAACGTAATTTTAGGTCTATTGTCCAGGGTGACCTGGATGTGAGGTAGTGCCATAATACATCAGTGAAGCTGATAGAACACCTTTGTGACAATAACACAAAATATCATTCTATATACACATTTTTGATTATCCTTTATTTTATATAACAATAATCGAAAATCAGGCCTTTTTAGGTATATGTAGTTATCATTTGGATTTTTCCATGTTTGAAAAAACAGTGGGAAATGGAATTAATATTGAAGAATTGATTAATCACTGTTTCCATTTCATCCCTTGTATATTAAGTGATGATTAGTGTTCTGTTTGAAGAAATTGCATCTTTTGTGTGATTTAACAGCAAGTGTAATGAAGTAGAGCACACTGTTATCAGTTGTTCCCTAATGTTATCTCAAGGGCAGCCATCTGTAATAGCTTCATTTGATAGACCCCTTTTCATTATATGATGTAAATTTCAAATATACCAGTAAATGTAATACCCCACTTTTGTTCTAGTTGATGAGTTGAACCTTCTATTCTGTGATCTATAGAAGTCATCTAAACATGATCTTAAGAAAACGTTAAAAACTACTTGTATTTTTTATTCGAAGTTGTTTGTAGATGATGGTTTTCCATTAGTAATATTCAGTGGTATAGTAAAAATAGGCTTCAGCCACCCTCCCCAACAGAAACTGTTGAGTCCAATTATAATTTTAATTTTGTAAAGACAGATTAACATAATTTAATTATTTATATTTTTGAAGGTACTATTTGAGTTAATTGTTACAAATTAATTTGTTTGCAATATTATAAATAAACAGAAAATATATATTTTACAGGTTTATTTGAATTTCATACAGATTACTATATCTTTCACGAAATATGACTATGTCAAAGTAGATGGTTTGGTATAACTATAGTGAAAAGTAAATTAAAGTAATTTTAACAATTCTATTTGAATAATCATGTAAAGTAAATAAGGTATATTTTTTTACTTAAAAAAATACAAACTTTAGCATGGCTAATAACATTAATAAGAAACAGACTGTTTTTAGTAGTAACAAATTAATTGAATATATTACTTACAAATACTACAAATAATTTAATTTGATAATTGAAAATTACTTTTAAATTGGTGACTTATTTTTATGAGAAAACCTCAAACAGACCATACCCACTTTCAGCTCCCTTCAGGAAAATCCTAGTTGCAACCCTGGTATTGTTTAATATGTACATAATAAATGTATCTATGGAAACTTAGTTTGTGAAGGACCACTATTACAATTTTTAGTTTCACATAATTTTTTTTATACTGGATTTGTGTGTCTTAATCTTCAATTAAATATTTTTCATTTTAGGTTTAAAGGCAATAGCAAACCATGGACGACAAGAAGACAAGATATATAGGATCAAAAGTTTCTCAGATTGCCACAATTTTCCAAAATGCAGCTCCTGCAAAAGAAGCAGAAGTACTGAATACTCCTGTTGTTTCAAAATTCAAGCAAACGAAAGGAGGAAATGATGGCACTGCTGAAAGTCGCGACTCACCCTCTCCCGTCAATCCAGTTTTGGTTGTTCGCACTGAAAGTCATGTTGCTCGATTTAACAATGCACGAGCTCTGTTTGAAAAGATGGCAGCAGATAAATCTCCTGCAGGTTCTGGAGGAGCATCACAAAAAACAGTTTCTGCACCTCAGCAACTCAATCTGCGTTCAGATTTGTCACCTACTCATACCTCTCCTATTCGCCGAAATGCGGGGCCATCACCTCCAAGAGAACGTCCACTTTCTGATATCATCAGCCCCAGTTCTAATACATCACTTTTTGGGATCTCAAAAACTGATATACTTAATGGTCATAAACTGCACATGACTAATGGGCCTCACACCAATGGAAAATCTGAATGTTTGGATGAAATACCTTTACACAGTATTTCTAGTCCAGACTCCGGATTTGAAAGGCAGTTTCCAGAGTCTGCCAAAGTTGTAGAGAATTGTCATGTAAATGGTTCAGGGAAATTGGAAAGAGAATTGCATGGTTTGAGTAAAATAGATAAGGAATCTGCAGGAAAAGATGATAGAGGAATGCAGTGTGATGGGTCGTTATCACCTGATTTTAAAAAACCAGAGAAACCAGAAAGAAAATTCATTAGTCGGGAACTGATAGAGAAACAGAAAAATTGGACTTCTCATTTTTCCAAATTAAGGCCAGCAAGATGCAGTAGTGAGCCAAACAAAACCGAAGTGAAAGCAAGCCTAACAGCAAGTAGTACAAAACCTGAAGTACCACCAGGGAAGCCTGTTTATTGTCGTTCTGACAATAGTCCCTCTGCAAACATTCCTGCAACTCGTAGTGCATCATTTACTGCTGGCAGGAGCACATGGCAAGAGTTGGCTTCTACTAATCCACAAAAGTCTCCTTCTGGTTCACTGATAATTTCAGCAGAGGAGAAACAGGAAAAAGAACTGCAGGAGAAGAATGTTGAAGAAACGTCCCCAAATAATTCACCAATCAGGTAAGAATTCTTCTTTTATTAATAGTTTTGAAGGTAAATTATTGGACCATTATGCTGAAATGTTAGAATATTTGCAAATCATATTTGTCATGGTATACTTGTGAAGCTTGCAGCAATTTTGTATTTCAAAATACTTTAGATTTAGATTTATTCAGTCAAAAAAACAGTAAAAACTGCATGTGATTTAGGGGGGAGAAGATTATCTGTGCACGTTTTCTTCCAGAATCCCTTCCCGTCATTTTAATTATAAATAGTTTAAAGATGAGTAAAAGTTTAATATAAATAAATTTTAAAATTCACAAGATTAGCAATATTTGAAAAATAGTCATTTTCGTTTCTGAGTTACAGAAAACTTATTTCCATCATACTCACCAATGTTGCTAATAGATCTATTTTTTATGAAAGAAATAGGCATTTGTCAGGTGGAACAACATTATGTCATTAATCATCTATAGTGCACATTGGTGTCTTCACAGAAGTTTATATTTTAAAATACTTAAGTGCAGTAATTTCAGCTGAATGTTTATAAAAATTTAGAGGGTTCTTTTAATTATTATTAAATTATCATCTCATTTATTTATTTTATGACTTACTGATGATGTGCAATGGTTTTTAGTGCATTATACTTCATAGAAGAAGTCATTCTGTGGCAATGAAATAAGCTTAAAACTTAATGCTCTTTTATTTGATTTGTAATTAAATCTCACAGTTCGTACATCTTATGGTAAACAAAACATATTTAAAAAATAATGATATATGTTACCTATCTTCTAGTTAACTTCTCATGAAAGGAAATATTGTGAAGCATTTCTGCTTGTCTTGTAAAATTCATATATCATATCATACACTGTTATTTGGTTTAACCATTCAATTATAACCTGTTGGTACATTTGGTACATAATTGAGTCTGTCATAAAATAATAGTGCTATTTATAAATTACTATTCAGAATTTTACTTTCTTTTCAAGAACATATGTAAAATCCAATAATTGTAGCCCCTCACAGACAGATTTGGGTTATTATGGAAGTACTTGTTCTGATGTACTGACTGGATAGCTATTTCCAGAACAACATGTCGACACATTTTGTAATTCCTTTGAAACATAAATGAACTGAACAAAGTAATTTGACATTCCATTATATTTTGGGACTGATTGTAGCCCACTTCATTTTGAGCTGGTAGTACAAAGGTAAAGTTTTTCAAATTACCTTGCAGCTTTGATTTATCTTACTGATTCATGATTTATGTCAGTTGAATTTTGAAATCTTTTGACCATATAAAAACACGTCTTTTAATATTAGAAGTTAGTTTTGAGAAAATTGGAGTGATATTTATTTGTTATACCTTATAACTTTAAATTTAAATAAAATGGAGTGCAATTCCTCATTTAGGAAATTGTAACATACCTAATGCCATTGTAAATGCAAATGTATTTGTAATTTGTGTATCAATATCCAATATTGTAGTGAATTTTGGTGTCGCACACAATTTTGTTGATGAAATGCATCATGAAATAAAAAGTAAACACATTATTATTATTTATCAGCCTTGGTTTTAAATCAGATACGTATGGTGGAAATTCATATATCATTTGGCCAATTTAATCTTACAATATTCTTTTACTTCTTACAGGTGAATTAGAATTGTTTGTTTTGAGTGCTTGTAAAAATATGATTTGTCTGCACTGTTACATAGTCTTGATCACATTGCATGAATGTGTTTGCTGTTGAAGATTATTTGTAAAGTTTTCAAGTGTATGTTGTTTTTGTTCAGCTCTCAAGGAGAGGATAAGACTAAACTGCCGCCTTCTGAAGACAAAAGTACTGAGTCTTCTCTTTCTTCTCCAGGTATTAAATATTTTATATATTGCTGTACTATTCAAAATAAATGTATGTGATTTTATAAACAATTCATCAAAACCATCTTGGGATTATTATAAATATTAATCTAATATTATCAGTTTGGTATCTAACATTAATCTCTTTTGATTTTCGTTCAATCATTTTTCACATTTGACCCACACAAGTGTATTGGAGATGCTGAACAAATTTATAGTTTAATAAGTGTTTAATTTGCACAGATTGTTTTTATGCTGCAGAATTCAGGATAAAATTATCTTTCATTATGAAGGAATGTATCATGCTATTCAGAATGTTGTAGGTATGCAGTGTGTTAGTCATTTGTTAGTTTAAACACTGTTGGTGCTATTTGGGTGAAACATGACAAAATTTGAAACTACTTACTTCTTGATGAAAGCAGATTATACAGATTTTAACATGATTCACTTATTGTCTTCATGGTTTGACTATGTTTAGTTGTCTTTCACTGAACACACTGGTGAAAACTCACCCATTCTAAACGTGAAGATCTTAATAGAGCACATATGCTCTTGCTTTCAGCAAAAAAAGCATAGAGAACATGTGGGTTTAGCTAAGAAAAACTGGAGCAGGCAGTGGAGTGAGAGAGGGGAAGAAATGAGGGACAGAGTGCTCAGTGGAATTGGCTGAGCTACAGCCGCAGGGGAGGTGAGATGAGATGTTTTGGAGTTTGGTGTGCACATATTTCTCATTCCACACTTACTAGCAGCTGCAAGAGCAGCAAGAGCACTGCTAATGGTTCCAGGTCTGATTGTGTGCGTGCAAGGGTTGGTGCCAATGCTAACTTCACTGGCACTTTTTTACTCAAGTTGGCTGTGAATTGTGGAGCAGATGGGAAAGTGAATTATTTATCTGGATATTGAAAATAAGTTGTATGGCTCTTGGGAATTCCCTGTGCCTCTGTGGATTTGCATGGTAGAAATTTTCTCTAGTAGGGTGGCAGGCTAAGAGTTGCATGAAGGACATTCAGTTGTTTGTTTTCATACATTGCTTGCTAAGATTAAAGAGATGGATTTAATAGTGGCTAGTGAGCAAAAAAACATGAAGAAAAATAAAGGATGAATTAGTTTACTCTAGTTAAGAATGCCCATTGTTATTGTGCAAACCTTTTAGAATGAATGATTATTAATCATTACATGATTTTAGTCTTTGCCAAGAGGTATTTTGTGTACAGAATGACTATGTGTTTTCATCTCATATGTTCAAAGTGCTTGGGTAAGGAAATCCTTAATATGATACAAATTTGAGTTTATAATGTAGGCTCTGAACAAAAACCAGGCTTTAGGTCAATGAAATCTGTGTTTTTTAAATCTTGAATTAATGTTACGTCTGATAAATATTCTCCAGTGTTCATTTAGTATACACACCCCTTAACTGTTTTTGTTTTAATACTATTGTAATTGATCTAAAAATTGAGAAGATAGGATCAAGATAACATCTAAAAGCTCTTTCTTTAACCACTTTTTGCCAAGATACAAAATTTATCTGTAGAATCAATTGATATTATTGACATTGATGAAAATGCATGATTAAAAAAAGTGTTAAATTAAGTAACCAATCTATATGTGAAGAAATTTTACAAATTATCATAATTAAGCTAAATGCACTACCATATTTTATTTCCATATTTTTGACAACTTATTCAATTACTAATCAGAATTATAGGTTTTGTTTTATTTTCTTTTCATTCAGTGAAGTAGTGAACAAATATTTTTTCTACTGAGTTTTGCAACTGAGGCAGAATTCTGTTGTGTTGCATTCTTTAGATATGCACTTCAATTTCATCTTGGGAAAGATTTCTCAAAACTTGACAGGTGTCTTTATTTTTCATGTAATTCTAAAAGAAACACTAGAAATTACATGAGAGAGCAATAATAGTTTGACTTGAGGATGCCTTGTTTGATTTTTTTTTTTTAATTGAGACCTTCACTGCTCAAAAGATAAGTGATATGTACCTAATCAATTGATACTAATTAATCAAAATTAAATGTGAGTTAATAGTGAAATAACCATTCCTTTTATACCTTGCTGTATAAAAAAATTTAATGATTACTTTTCATTTAATTCTGAGGTCTAAAAGAAATAAATATGAAATGATTTATGGATGAAACAATTTTCATCTCTAAATTTTAATGAAAGCTTATTCTTCAAATTGTTTATAATATCAATATGTTTAATTGTGAAGTTATGTGTGCAAATCATTGAATTTGTGAAAAGTAATGGTTTTGTTTCCACAATAACGGAAACACTTTCATTTAAAAATTGAGTATTCTTATCGATTTCAATTCTTATATTATTACAACAGCCTTTTGCATTAGTTTATATTCGTGATTGTTCACTTCATAACTTCAAGCTCTACTCTTTTAGGACTTACATCAGTTGTAACGATTTTCACCTATTCCATATCCCACTGATATTTAAATGGGCCAATCATTATATATTCATTTATTTTTTCAATGTTATTCTCACACACCTAGTGTAGCTCTTTGGTATATTCTTCAACAAGTTCCACCAATTTTGATTTTCTGTTGATTGTTAGGTTGAATATCAAGAGGTGAGTTGGCATGTTTCCCAGCAATGTTTGTAATCAGTTTTTTTTGCATGCTCACAGGATGTAGCGATATTATGGGATTTACTTCTGCCTGCAAAAGTAATTTTCAGCCTTAATTTCTGTTGCAAGATTGTGGGTGCTGCAACACATCTTCTTGTTTCTGATCCAAAAAATGAATGAATGCAGAAAGTAATACAGATTTATTTTTATTTTATGTACCATTGATTTGTCACTTTGTCCCTCTGGAAATTTTATAAACTTTTTGAAGTAATTTCTTGTGAAGAAGTCTTGGAAACTGTGAATCCTAGTGCCTTAAAACTTTTTGTGTCCCTAGTAAGAAACAAAAGTTTGTTTTTTTAAAATCTGAAATCTACAAAATGAGAACTTTTTGAATATTTTATTATATTTTTATTATCTCATCACTAGTAGTGATTTTGTTTTGTTTTATCAAAAATTTTTGGGCTTGTTCTTGGCGATTTCACACTTCTAAGTACTCTAAAAACTCAGAACTTCCCATTTCATCTAGCAGGGGAGACTATACACTGCACTGTACATTTCTGTAACGTTTATAAACTATTTCATATTAAAAAAACACTTCAATCAAATTTTTAAATTTCTAGTTTAATTTCCAGATAACAAGTATAGGTTAAACTGTGGTGCTCTTGTAAGGAAGACATATACCATTACTATGAAATTACTGCAGAATGGAAAATTTGGCTTGTAGTTTTGTTTTACTTCTATTCTAATTGGATTCTTCGATTAAAATGAAAAATGTTAACATTACCTGAAAAAGGTAATTTGTTATTCAACCTTTGAAAATTCTACCTATGATGATGGGATCATAAGGGGAAAGTGTGGAGGTACATGGAATACATACCATAAATATGTAATGAAAATTTAAGGGAACATATAGTGAACATGCTAGGGGAATACGTTGATAAGCTTGCAAGGAGAAACATACAGGGTTGGGTGTCCCTTAGTTTGTGAATTCAATTTTGTTCAAATCACTTTAAAACATGCCTAAAATTTTGTTGTTATCAGAGCCTAACTTGCTTGTTAAATAAGTCCAGACCTCCTACCCAGTGCTGAGTTGGACCTGAGCCTAACGATAGATGGATTTTTATTGATTGTGTCACAAGTGTTTACAGAATGCCAATATAAAATTATGTTATATGTTAGTGTCATATGCAGTGCTGGGAAACATGTATTTTTAATAGGTGAGAATATTAATTATTAATATAAAACACCAAATAACTGGGCACAACTTATCTTCAAATAAACAAGTTCTGAAGGTTTATTTTATAACGTACAGGAAGTAAAATTAACTGCTAGTGCAAATAGAACAAATTAAAAATTGGTCATTTTCAGGCAAAGGAAAATGAAGAAAAATTGCTAATGCTAATGCTACATTTTTCCCTGCCCCCCCCGAAAAACATTGAAATACTAATTAAAAACTCAAATCTTATTCCAACAAATACATAAAAACCATTATGAAAAACAATAACAGCATGGAACAAAGTAAATTGACTATAAAATACAAACTTTATTTGCTGGTATTGATGACTGCAGTTTCATCACAACAAACACTCACAAACAAAACTGTCCAAGTTAGCGCAGAGGCTACATTATTGTTGCCTTGCAGAACTTGACTGGACAGTTCTAGGTTCAAGACCCGATGGTGGCAAATTTCCAACTCTTAGATATATAGCTTGATTGAATTCAGTTGCTGCTTTAACCTTTGTTTTTCTTATCACTATCTGGCAAGTTATGGGGAAATACCCTATAAAACAGGCTCTGGACTGCGTGTGATCATTCCTTTCTCATCCTTGATCTGTCTTCTTCCATTACACATATGAGTCGGGAGGTTTGAGATTGTCCTGTATGGGGCTGTGCCTTGCCAGGGAGAGATACCTGGATGAGAAATACTCAGCGAGTTGGTCTGTAGATTGGCATGGATCTTCTCTTTCAATGTGAGAAAACACTACCTCCCCTGAACATCCACTACACAAATAGGACTAATGACTGTTGCTGATGCCCATAAACATTAGTAAATCACACACACAAAAATTCTGAGACAACACAAGTACAAAATAAATTATAGTTAAAAGCAAACTTGGTTTGTAACATGTTACACATTTGTTACTTTATTACCCAAATGTAATAACAATAATGAACATTTGTTACCTGTAATGATCATATAAGTTTGAAATGAGGAGGGAGTGGGTTAATTTTTAGATGTACCAAATATATACTTTCTGAATGTTCTTTAATCTGACTATTCAAATGAAATAATATTTTTCAATAAAATCCAAAAATATCTGCAGCATCAAGAAAAAGAAACCATTTGATTATCCAATCTTGCCCTTTTGCAATCTTTTCTCATACATTGCATATTATATAATTGAGAAGGTTCAACTTACTTTAAATGTCACATCATGTGCATGGCAATTGAATTACGGCCTGGATGTCCTGAACATCAATCACATGAGGATTGCTTTTGCTTGTGCCTCTTGGGCATCATTTTTTCAAGGACAAGTGGTTTGCTGGAGTCGCAGCCTCCAACGGAGGATGATAGGGGGAGGTTTGATCTTTTGTTTTGCTCTGCAATTCAGCGCAAGAACCTAACCTAAAAGTTACTTTGTATTGAAATAGTAAAATCATAGTTATTCTACAGAATAACCCTACAACGCATTCCTTCGATGCAAACAAGTCTTATTTAACACTGAAGTTTAAGACCATTCTGTTCTTGTGTCTAAAACATAAAGGTGGAGGTCTCTGTATAAAATTGTATATAAACAGGAAAAAATGTTCCGGATTCTATTGTACATAAGAAAAAAAAGGTTTAAAAATTAAGATATTTATTTACTACTGAGAAGTACAGTGAATTCTAGTGATTTTAGATTGTCTAAATTATTGGATAAATTTAGTGTTGAAGAGTGAATGGGGGCTAAAAGAATGATTTGTCTACCACTTTTCACATTGTAATTTTCGTTTAAAAAAATTAAATCTAAATTAATAGTAAATGATAATTGTGAATTTAAGAGATATTTCTAGCTAATTATTTAAGAGAAATTTGTTGAAAGTGATATTTTACTCTGTCTTAGTGAATTTTTTCTTTAAATTTTGTTTTGAAATTAAGCATATACATTTACTGAAGTTCATTATGTTCACTGAAGAGTACACATTAATGAAAACAAGTTTAGTTGTTATGTCAATATTTCTACTAATGTGAAGCTCAAGATGAAAGAAAGAAACGATTTTTTCAAGACATTTTGGCATTTGCTGTACAAATGTTTCTATGAAATCTCAAATTTCTATTTGTAGTATTACATTTATTTTTTAAATCAGCATTGACCTGGATTTTGAAAATAATACAAGAATTGATTATGTTTGTTCGGTTATTTATTTATTTATTTATTTATTTTTTTTTTCACAGGTCGCAGCAGTGATGACCAATTAGATGATTCATCTTGTCAATTAGAAGATGAATTGTATTGTCAATCAAAAGGCCTTATAAAGGAGGAAACTGCATTTGGGCAGACACATACCCAGTCTGAAGTTGCTCAAGAATGTTTTGGTAATGTACATTTATCTCAGGATGAAAGATTGAAATCAATCAACTTACTGCCTGAGAAGAGAATTAGTGGCCTAGATGAAAAATTGTTAGTGGACCATGTCAGAAATGAGACTGAAAAAAAATTACAGAAGACTGAACAAGCCTTGAAAACAACTGATCTTTTGCATCAACAACACTTTCCTAATGTGCCAAACATTTCAACAAGTGAAAAGTTAAATGAAGAAGAGAAACTAAATGAAAAAACTGAGGAAAAGAAAGAGGACCAGACAAGAGAAACAGCTAGAGCAATTGAAGAAAGTATATCAGAAGTAAAGAAAGGTAACGGAAAAGAAGAAAGAAAGGAAGAAGAGGAAAAGAGAAAAGAAGATGAGGGACAGAGAGAAGCAATAAAGAAAGAAGATGAGGAGAAATTAGAGGAAGAGAATGAGATAGAGGGGGGTACAAAACAAAATCAAGAAGAACAAAACAGTGAAGAAGAGAAAGTAAAAATAATTGAAGAGAGAAAAATAGAGGAAGTGGGAAGGAGAAAAGAAGAGAGAGAAACAGAGGAGTACAGAAAAAATATTGAGAAAGGAAGGGAGGAAGTTGAAGAAAGAGAAGATAAGGATGAAGAGGAAAGGGGAGAAGAAAAACAAGATGAGGACGAGGGGAAAAGAGAACATTTAAAGGGGAAAGAAGATGAGCAATGTAGCGAAGTGAAAGTATCAACTGACCACAATGAAAGGAATATAAGTAGTAACAATGAAGAGAAAAATATAGAAGTAGTTTTGGAATGTGGTGAAAAGAAAGGAGAGACAGAATCTAGTAGTGAGAAGTTTGTTGAGCCAGTATCTCACATAGTTGTTGTGAATGACTTGTATGCCATAGTAAGACGCAAAGAGGAAAGGGATGTTTCTGACAGAACTTCTGCAAAGATGGTAGCAGAGAAACCTAACACTACACAATATTGTGAGCCACCGGTTATATTAAAAAGAGAAATACCTAGTGTTAGGGGTTTGCTCCCATTGCCCAGTAATGTTCCAGTTGCAAATAAGTATGATGATCAGTCCCCTGAATATGAAGAAGTCTTGGAGCCACTTGGTCGTGGTGGTATGAGTGACAGCTTTAATTTAGGTCCTGGGCGAGCGCTGAGTGGGGCCTCATCAGAGGGCAGTATTCTTGATCTTCATGATGTGGAATACGCAGACGCTGATGCAGAAGATAGTGATGAGAAAGATGAAGATAAAGTTCTCTCATCACAGGTAATTGTTTTTAATTAATGTTTATAGCTGCAGTTGGTCCTTCTACACTGCATAAAGTTTTCATAACCAAGTAAAATTGTCAAACAGTAAATTTATGGATTTTCTCAGGTTTTAAATGACTGTGTGAAGGTTATGTTTTTCATGAAAGTGAATTAGCATCTGTTGCCTGACTGATTCGATTAATATTCTTGTGTGACATATGCTTACATTAATCTTGCTGTCATGTGATTAAATATTTTTTCTTTGTGACATGTTATTATGTATTTAATTTTGTGCAACCCAGACTGGACCTCTGTCCACCACGGAAAGCCCTACATTACTGGAGGAAGCCAAATCAGAACTGTCTGACCTGAGTGATGCCACTGATGAGGTGAAAGAGAAACCAGACCTCCCAGATACAATGACTCCTGATGAGGCTGAAAATCTGCTTAGCACTAGGTAAGAATGTGGCATTAAACATCCTTGTGTGAAGTTGATGGAAAGAACATTCCCATATTCCTTTAATTTCTGAGTTTTCTTATAACAAAAGATGTTATATGAATAAAAAAGGTTTGAATTTATTATAAGGGACTCATTTGTTAAAGTCCAAAGGTGTTAGTCAGACTTGCGGCAGACACACTGATTGATGTGTGGGTAGCCACACTGAGGGATGCATGGGTATCCACACTGATGGATGCGTGGCAGACTCGCTGAGGGATGCGTAGGCAGACACACTGAGAGATGTGTGGGGAGACACACTGAGAGATGTGTGGGGAGACACACTGAAGTTGTTTTTGCCAATAATTGTATTTTAGCTTCAAAAGAATCGAAGTAGAAAACTTATGACACATAAAGGGTGCTGGATCCCCTCACAAAGTTAAAGTATTAATTCTCATCGATTTTGAAATGGAGAAATTCTCATAAAATGTGTACATTTGTTATAATTATCTGGTGTAGTAACTAACCTACTTTTCTTTCTGAGATGTAAAGGATTATGTGTTGCCTTCAGTAGAATTAAAATGGTAGTTGTAGCTAATGCTAGTCATGAAAATAGTTATGATGGTCCATATAAACTTGCCATCAAGAATGTTTCATAGTAGCTGGTAAATTGTTTCATAGCTCTTAATAGAGTTGTTGTTCCAGAGATTACTCTTGGTTGTATTACTGGAGATTTATTGATCATTTAAACAAAAGAAATAATCTTCACAATTAAACACTTGATAAATATTTAGGTATATTTCTTCTGTTTTGTTAATAATCATAAAATTGCACTTTAATCATTAAATTTTCATTTTTAAGGCAGACTTTGCTTTTAAATACTCTAGAATTTAGTAGTATAGGATTGTCTAATGTTATCTGAAATGAATTAATTAATCAATTATTAGTTTTGAGAATGTCATGTATTGACTATATAAAATATAAGTAATTGGGAATATTGGTTTGAAATTATGCTTGTAACTCTTGCATGAAATTGCAAATGTTTGCATTTTTGCATGACTGATAATAAACTCTCTAACAATTTCAGACAAAGAGAGAATTGCCTTGTTTCTCTGAGTACTTTTTGCTATAGCTTAAAATTTGCCCAATTTTGTGGGTTGATTGCATTAACAACTAACTAACTTGAATTCATCCTGAAAGTAAAATATGCATTATGATTCTAGAGATAAGTAATCTTATATTGAGAACAGTAGGTGTAGTGCAACTTGTCAGATAACAATATGAATCTAGAAAGAACTTGACAGGCATGGTAAATATTGTGTGATGCAAGTATTGTATTGTTGCTGCTTGACAACTAACTAATCAGCTGTTGTTCTATGCTGCCTATTCTGCACGCTCCCTTCAACTGCAGTATACTGGAAAAGAAACGACGGTAAGTAATGACAGTAATGATGCATTAACTGGTATGTGGGAATCATGATCTTGACTCAGCATTATGTGTAAATACTTCAAGTTAAACTTCCATCTTTTCACTAAAATAGAGTTAGTTTTTCCTTTTTTTTAGTGAGTATTGAAAGTAGGTTGCATTTAAGTAATGGAAATGTTTTAAATGATTGTTCAACGTAAATTGTAAAATTTTCGATATACATTTATTCTTCTACCCATACAGTCAAGAAGGATTACTTTCTGATGAAGAAGCTCAGGAGGTTTGTCGACTTCTCTCTCCAACGGATGATAAGGAAAGGGATGATCCTGAATGGATGCATGATGTCCTTTCTCTAACCAGTGATTCTGTTGTCCAAGAGTCATCACTAGACTACAGGTAAAGTGTTTGAAATGTTTTCTGATTATTTTCAAAACATCAATAGCTTTAGAACAAGTTCATAAAGCTATAATTTATGTAACTGATGAGAAATTTCCTTCCATTCTCTTATAATAAAATAATGAGACTATGAAAGTTTCCAAATGCTTAGCATAGAATAGTAAAAGTTACTTCCTTTTTGTAAAAATTTGTGCATCGTAATTATCCTAATTATTAATCGACGCAGCCAGGCATTGAGCACATTTTAAGTAATCCTCCATTTATATTCATTATTTATCAGGTCAAAGTTGTGCTGTATTTATTATGTCTTGTTGTGCGTCACTGCAGCGTGCAGAATTGGGAAGGAATTAGGAAAAACATGTAGGGTTTAGGACACTTCACAAGGGGTTAGACTAGTTGAGGGGAAGCAGGCAGACTTGTTTTGTTGGAACAAATTTCACATGAGTGTGTCCGATAATCAAACCCAGTGAAAGGCGAGCGACTTTGTTCTGAGCCATGATATAAAATTATTCATCATTAAGTTTATTAATTTTAGAAACTGTGGTTAAAACACCAATTCCTTCTTGCTTCCAAGACAAAATATTTTGTTAGTAAAGGATTACATTTAGCCCAGCTTCAAGAAAGTAAAGTATACTCTATTCATTATGTAACAAATGATGTTTCCTGTAAATTGGGTTTCTCACAGATATTCAAATAGTCTTATTCATTTTCAAATTTTTTGTTATTTTATTCATTTAATTGTCCCTGGCAACATACCATGCAAAAATTGTTTTAATGAAAAACGTTTCTTCAAGACAGGCAAAATGTATCTCTTACCAGTATAAATTAAAAAAAAAAGTTTAAATAAGGTCAGGATCTTATAGATGAACTTTTACAAGCTCATATTTCCTTCAGAAATTGAAAAGGCTATATGATAAAAAAAATTCTAAGAATTTAAAATTAGATTCATAGTCAATTTTCTGAGGAATTAGATAAAACTATATGTACCTATTATATAAGATTAGTCCCTGACCTCCAGAGAATTTATTTCATTTTTAACTAGCACTTACTATTCTGTTTAAATATTTAAATTATTTTCATAAAAAAACATTAAAAACTGTCTGTGGCTTATGGGGAAGAAGTATAAAAAATCACAAATTGTCTTATTCACTAAAATATAGTCTTCTTGATGTAACAATGTAGTGTGTTAGTGCACCAAAAGAATTACTGTGCAGGGTCTTTTCAACCAATAAAGTCAATTTTGATCACATCTCGTGCTCAAATCCACTTCGGTCCATGTTATAGACAGACAGACGGAATAGTTTGGAAATGTGGCATTTTTGAAAAATACATCTGCAAGTGTATTCTTTTCTGCTTTGTCCTGGAACCTGGAGGAACCTGAGACTGGGATACGAAGTTAGTTTTCTTCTGGATCTTACTTTGGTGTGTTTTTGATTGATCCATGCATTAGATGAGGAAAATATATTTTGGGAGGTGGGGAGGTTCTGCTATATTCTTACGAAATTTCCGATGGCCAGTATTGCAAATCTTCATTGTTCACTTTCTCCTTTGTTCTTCTTACTTGCTTGGCTGAGACCAGTTTCTCATACAATATATTTTATTTCTCTATGTTTGATTGTTATGGAGATATCATGTTTTAACTTGCTTCTTCCACAATTGTAATTGTCGTTCTGAAGTGCTTTATGAAAATTTTGAAGGACGTGAGGTATTTAATATTGTGACACCGCAATACTCCTTAGGCAATGCAGAAAAAGTACATGCTACAGAAAAAGTGTAATTTTTCGATTGGAAAATTTGTTGCCAAGCCCTGCTAAAGAAAAGGTGGATAAATTTTATTCCTATACATAGTAAATTACATGTATCACATGTATTACATGTAGTCAGAATCCAGGTTTTGAGGGTCTTTGATACTGAAAGATAAATTCACGGCAAAACATCCATCTCTTGTCCGTTCCCCTGTTGGTCTACTTGTCCGTGTGTCCCTCTTTTTCTACCCGTCCAATCATGTCAAATCTAACATGACGATTCGAAATTAATATATCCCTAATACATCAGAACGATCTATAGAGCTTGTAAGTTTGAAAGGGATATTTTGATTTTTGGTGATACTTTACTTGATCCATTCCTTTTCAAAATTTTCTCAAAAATGATTTCAGTTTTTTAAATTGAAATTTTGTTCATAGGTAGTGTGAAGAACTCTTAAATAAATAGATTAGATCTTATTTTCCTTGAAATCTTTGATTTTTTGAAAATTGCAAAAGTTCAAAATTTTGTCTGATCAACATCTCCATAAAATCTATTCCACCACTCCTTGCCACCTCATGGAGCGCAAACGCATATCCTACAAATTGGTAGTGTGCTTACTAGTTCACTTCTAGACCGTGAGAGTATAGTGATGGATCTTCAGTTCCCTCCACTCTAATACCTATAAATTATATTGATAATAAGGTCCCTCAAATATCAAAAGATTCATTTGGCAATAGTCACAAAGACTAACTGGTGATGGAGCTTATGGTGCAACTATATAGGGCTTTCTGAACCGCATGTCTTTTCAGGCTATGCTTTGTTTTGGCTGCGGAGTCATACCTCTTCCAAATATCCTTTCTCCAAACGTGTGGAAAACACCCCTGAATCTGCTATGAGACTCTGACACTAAACTACCTAACCTGGTGAAACCTTTGCTAAATCCTACCCCACCTTGGACACTCCTTAACTCTCAAACCAGTTTTATATTAGTTAATCTAAATTGACTGATTACCAATCAGTGAGTCTCTACATATATAGTGTCTAGAGTTTGAGGTTTAAGAACTAGAATAAATGGCCTACATAAAAATGGCTACCCATTATGCTAAACTACACTTCACTTTAAGAAAAAATATTCTCATGGCACTCCTGGCCAATTCAAAGTCAAAAGAGGTTATCTTATGTTTCAGTGGATTCCCCAACATTTAGCTGACAGACATTTTAGAGGTTCTTAATCGGTTGACATAGTTCATAGGCATTTTCGATAGTAGACATTTTAGATGTAGATGTTCAATAATTGATAAAAATAGGGTTGCCAGAAGGGAGGAAAATCTATTGTCTTTATATTTTCCCTGCAGATCAAGAAGTGAAATGAGTGTCACAATGGAAGATTCTATGATTTCAAGTCATATTGGGTCACAGTCAGGATCCGAATCGGGCCTTCTTGGATCAGTTAGTAGTCTCAACGATCAGGAACCAGGAGATTATGACATAAGATTTGATGATTACAGGCCTGTACCTGGAAAAGTGGTGAGTTAAAATTTCAGTAGCACTAGATATTTGATATTTTATTAATTGCAGTTTATTAACCCTTTTTTTTCAATAAAATGTTTGCTGAATAGATCATTGTGGAAAACGGTGTTCATTACTTTGAAGATGGACATTTTTGGATGGAAGTTCCTGGTCTGCCTGAATCAGATGATGAAGATACAGATTTCCCCATTCCAGTTAAGAAAAATACGAAAGTTACTTTCAGCACTGGTCCAATTAAGGTAAGAGTAGTCATTAACATGTAATGATTGTTGATTTAGTGTAAAGTGTAATTAAAAATCAAAATTAATTATATCAGGAAATGTGGGTGAGGATGTCTGTACTGCATGTCTGTATGAATAGGCGAGCCATTTCTAATGTAACAAATCTCGTGTGTGTTCATGTTATTGGCAATGAATAATTTACTTGTTCTGAGAAGCATAGATTTCCTTATAAAATGTTGTTTTGCAATTTTCCAATTTCATCACAGCCTGTATGTCACTGAAAATTTGTGTGTACTTTTTGAAGACGTGATGCATTGTTGTTAACTCAAGTGGTCTTTGGAGCACAATGAGTGCACTGGAATTCTGAGGCAAAATTCAGCAGTTAATGTGTGCTGCAGTTGTGAAGCCATGATCTCACAATACACACTTCACTTCACATACACACTTCACTTCTTTTTTGTAGTTTGTATTGTTTTCTTTGGCAATGCCTAGAAACTCCCTCAGTGTTTTGAGTCACGTGAAGGACATTACAGAAGGGAAATCCTGTAACAACTCTTGTGCAATAATGAAATGACATAAGCAGTATTGTGAATGTCTGTAACATTAGATCTAATTGCAGAGGAATAGAAATGTTTGTTTGTTTTTTCCTGAAGTGATTCGCTCTGAACAGGGTCAAAATGTTACTAATAAATGTTTTTTGTATAAAAACATCAAGACTTCGTAATTAGCCTCACTAATAGACGTTTCCCACTTATCCGGGTTTGGCTGTGTTAAGTTTTGTCACAAATATAAGAGAAAAAGTCATTGACCCACAAATTTCATATTCTTTATTTACTTGGTAACATCCAGGAGGTGAAGAGGGGGGGGTGCATTTTTCAACAAGGACTCAATTTATTAAAAACAATTACCATGTATTGATAGTGTCGCATTGTAAAAGAAAATTCCCATTAAGCCTTAGCAGATGGTAATTCATGCCTTAAATATTAATCATTTTTTTCTTTAATGAATACTTCTGCATCTGCCTCTGTATTGACATCTCAACAGTTGCATCATTATCATCATTGTATATTTTTTAATATTACTTTGAGTGTAATATATAAATTTACAAATCCATATTAGCAGCTAGCTTGCTATTTAATATGCTTGCATTTCGATTTTAGGTATACAGTACTTTCTCAGTTAATGATTATGATCGTCGAAATGAAGATGTGGATCCAGTGGCTGCGTCAGCTGAGTATGAACTTGAAAAGCGAGTTGAGAAAATGGATGTCTTTCCAGTCGAACTAACCAAAGGCCCTGAGGGTTTAGGCCTTAGTATTATAGGAATGGGTGTGGGGGCTGATGCAGGTTTAGAGAAGCTGGGAATATTTGTGAAGACTATCACCGAAAATGGAGCAGCAGCTCGAGATGGAAGAATTCAGGTGAATAAGTATAATAATAAACATGTTCATGAAACACAAAAGAAGTCTTCAAAAACAGGGTAATCAATGTAGCACAACTCTTGAGGTGATTCTGTTGTAAATTATTGTAACAAACTCAAGTTTTCAAAGTAAAATTCCTGAAAATATATATTTTTTTTAGGTGAATGATCAGATAATTGAAGTTGATGGGAGGTCATTGGTTGGAGTAACACAGGCTTATGCAGCCTCTGTATTACGAAACACTTGTGGACTAGTGAAGTTTTTGATTGGTCGTGAAAAAGATCCTCAGAACAGTGAAGTGGCTCAGCTCATCAAACAATCACTTCAGGTAAAGGTACAGGGATGACAGCAAGGAATAATGGAGCAGTACTAGTATTTCCAAATATACTTTCTTGCTACTACTTATAAGACAACATATGAATAGATATAAAATTCAAAATAGAAAACCTGATTTATTTTTCAATTTTATTATTAAAGAAGTAGCTGATTATCTGGCATTTTTGGATATATTATTTATCACAATCATCTATTAAAAAGTTCTTCCATGGCTCCCCCCCC